TATATATATATATATTATATAATTTTTATTAAAAGTATACCACAGTTAACAAGTTTGTATTTGTATTGTGTTTGTACTGTAGGAAATACTTATACTGAATATTTACTATAGAAAACAATTATATTAAGTGAACTTTTTATTTCCATTTCAACATTTATTCATGTTATATTTCATATTACATTTTTTTTTGTGTTGAACATGAAGATAATGAATGAAAATAAAATATTAACAAAATATAAAAATATAAAAAGATATATTTAAAACGTTTTAATCTTATATGGAATAAATGACAGATTTAACATATTTTTGATATCAAATTTTTAAACTGTTAAATAATAAAAGAAATATAAAAATGTTTTTAAAGAATTATTAACTATTTTAACAAAATATCTTAATTTTAAGCTTAATAAAAATTAAAAAATAAGCATAATAATTAAAAAAAAAATGTTCTTTTGTATAATTGCATAATCTTTTGCGTATTCTTTCAAGAGGATATTAAACCCTCTTCAATTAATTTAGCTTTAACTAATGGTAATTCTACATTGTATATTTTGGATTCCAGCTCACAATCAACAATTTTTATTTTGATACAATTATCAGGAATAATTAATTCTGAAATTCGTTTTTCTATTTCAGAAGAATATTGTCCACTATTGTCAGTAGGTGCAATATCTGTAAAATTATATTATAAATAATGTTATTAAAATTTACAATAAGTGTAATAATTAAAATATTATAGTTAGTAATTAAAATAATATACTTACTGACAATGTTGCAAATATTTGCAAGCGCACATGGAGTTATAAAGTCTTTTGGCATAAGTCGTATATCTTTATGGTTAACAATCTCAGTATTTCCAAAATCAACGAAAAATATAATACTTGTTGTAGATGAATGGCGAGGACTTAAACATACACCACGATACCATTCATCAGCATAAAGAGCAAGACAAAGTTCACTTTCACGAGGAATATAATGAGAAGTTGTTTCGCAAAACGTAGTCATCTTTAAAACATTAAAAACATTAAAAACATTAAAAACATTAAAAAC